AGACACTTAAGGAGACAAAAGGAGACACTTAAAAAAAAAGGAGACACTTAAAAAGGAGACACTTAAGGAGACAAAAGGAGACACTTAAGGAGACAAAAGGAGACACTTAAGGAGACACATAAGGAGACACTTAAAAGGAGACACTCAAAAAAGGAGGCACTTAAAAAAAAGGAGACACTTAGAAAAAGGAGACACTTAAAAAAAAGGAGACACTTAAGGAAACACTTAGAAAAAGGGGACACAAAAAAAAGGAGACACTTAAAAAAAGGAGACACTTAAAAAGGAGGCAGATAAGGAAACACTTAAAAAGGAGACAGGTAAGGAGACACTTAAAAAGGAGACACATAGAAAAGGAGACACATAAAAGGAGACACATAAAAGGTGACACTTTACGGAAGACACAAAAGGAGACAACAGCAGCAACAGCAACAACAACTACAACAACAGCAACAGCAACAGAAGCTGCAGCAGCACCAGCAGCAGCAGCAGCAGCAGCAGCAGCAGCAAGAATATACGTCATACTTTTTTATCGCTAGCATCTCTATAGAGAGACTCCGCATCAAAGGCCGCAGGAGCGGCAGAATTTTCTGTCTTTCTTTTTGCCCTCTTCATTGTAGGAAAAAAAAAAGAAGAAAAAGGAAAAAAAGGAAAAAAAAAAAAGAAAAAAAAAGAAAGAATTATATACTGCTTCCTACATCTATTTTACCCCCTTCTTTATTCCCTTCTTATTATATATTATTTAATGTATTATTTATTTACTTAAAAGGGAAGAAAAAAGAAAAAAAAAAAAAAAAAAAAGGTAAAAAAAGAAGAAAAAATTGCGGTGTATAAATATATGCATGCAGCCGCGTATACACCGCAAGATGACGGGCAGGTAAGGAAAAAGTAAATAAATATCCTTTTTTTATTTATTTTTTTATTTAATCAATAAAAACAAAGTTAATTAAGCAAATACATGAATAATATATACTTTTATGGACACAAACAGCCCCAATATTATTTGCATGCACGAAGGAACTTTTTCTTGCTGCTGCTGCTGCTGCTGCTGCTGTTGCTGCTGCCACCGCTATAAATACTGCGGTGTATAGGGTTAGGGTTAGGGCTGCTGCTGCTATTTTTGCTGCTTTTCTTGTATTTATTGCAATGAATATAAGCAGAAAAATTATATTTAATTAATTAAAATATAATTAATTAATTATTCCCTATAAAAAAAAATATTTATAGCAACAATTTGCCTGTTTGCTGCTGCTTACTACCATACACCGCAGCCATATATATTATCTTCTACGGGGTGTATATTTGTTTCCTTTTTTCTCTTCTTTTCTCCCTTTAATTCTCCTTTGTTTATTTATTTATTTATTTTTAATTTATTTATTCTTTTTACTTGTTGTGGGGGGTGTTGGGGGTTGCCTTGTTACGTAGACAGCAGACCCATAATAGATCTACCTCTTATAGATAGCAAGAAAAGTTATTTTTTGTATATATAAATAAATAAATAAATACATTATTTATTTATTTTAATTAAATAATTATTTTTATTTCTTTAGTAGGGAGCAGCAGCAGGAGTCGTGGGCCCGCAGCAGCAGCAGCTGCAGCAGCCGCTGCTGTTGCTGCAGCCGCTGCTAAGGGGTGTATATTTGCATGTGCTGCAGCAGCACAAAAAGGGTGTGGGTAGTGTGTTTTTGCGCATTTGTTTCTCCTTTTATTGTATAATAAAATAAATAAATAAAAAATAAATAAAAATGGCAGAAGCAAAGGCGCGAATGACGGCGATGGAGGAAACCATCGCTAAGATGTTGATATGCAAGGTGAGAGAAAGGGTTTAGGGTTTAGGGTTTAGGGTTTAGGGTTTAGGGTTTTGGTAGAATATACATATATAGTATATGTTATTTTTTTTTATATATATATTTTATTCCTTTATTCTTATGACAATAATAATGCCTCTTTTCTTATGATTGGCTGCTGCATGCATTGCTGCTGTTGTGGGGAGAAGCAGCAGCAGCAGCAACAACAGCAGCAACAGCAGCAGAAGCAGCAATTATTTTATCTATTATTAGTCTATTTAATTCCCTATAGATCGGCAGACGATCCCTCATCTTCCCTGCCTCATGTCCCAACTCCCCGCGACCCCCCAGCAGCAGCAGCAGCAGCAGCAGCAGCAGGAAGAAGAAGAACAACAACAACAGCAGCAACAGCAGCATTAACAACAGCAGCAGATGATTATATCTTATATTTTATTACATTGATAATGTATATTGCATGCATGCATGTATTGCCTATTCCCTATATACTAATAAATATTAATAATAAATAATTGTTGGTGTTATATATGTGTATATATTTTCATGTATGTCAAGTGGGATCGGGATCGTTTCGATCCCCAACACGATCCCCAACACGATCCCAGACACGATCCCAGACACGATCCCAGACTCGATCCCAGACACGATCCCAGACACGATCCCATTGGATCCCCTATTAGTGAATAGAATTATATATATATATATATTATATTTTATTGTGTATGTTATATGTCTCCTTTTTTTTTTATGTTAATAGGTGCATATAGGGACAAAAAATGTTGAGCATAAGATGCGTCCTTATACATACAAAGTTACATCAGAGGGAGTACATCTAATTAATCTAAAGAAAACTTATGAGAAATTATTACTAGCAGCAAGAATAATAGTAGCTATAGAGAATCCATCAGATATATTAGTTGTATCTGCTCGTCCTTATGGGTCACGTGCCTCCCTTAAGTTTGCTCATTATACAGGAGCACAGGCTGTTGCCTCCCGTTGGACACCAGGCATGCTTACTAACCAAATTACACCTAAATATAGGGAACCAAGACTTATTATTGTTACGGATCCAAGGACAGATGCACGAGCTGTTAAGGAAAGTTCTTATGCAAATGTTCCTGTTATTGCCCTATGTGATTCGGATTCTCCTCTTGAATATGTTGATATAGCTATTCCTTGTAATAATAAGGTACGTAAACCCTAATAATAAACCCTAATAAACCCTAATAAACCCTAATAAACCCTAGGAAATAATAATATATACTAATAATGACAAATAATATCTACTAATAAACAATAATAAATAGGTATTTTATTTATTTATTTATTTATTTATTAGTTATATATACTTATGCTATACTTATCAAGGGATATAAGGAAGAATACATATTATAAACCCTAAACCCTCAATATTATCTGTATAATTAGGGTTTAGGGTTTATATATATACATAGATGATAAAGAGTTCGTTTTTTCTGTATTTTATTGATTATTTTCTTTTTATTTATATATATTATTTATTTATTTATTTATTTAATTTATTTATTTATTTATTTAATTTATTTATAGGGTCTAGAGTCTATAGCATTAATGTATTGGTTATTAGCAAGAGAAGTACTATACCTAAGAGGAGAATTGAGCAGAAATCAGCCATGGGATGTTATGGTTGATTTATTCTTATGGAGGGATCCTGAAGAAATTGATAAAAGAGAAAAAATCGAAGATAGAGATATACCACCACATACACAACAGGTAGGGTTTAGGGTTTAGGGTTTAGGGTTTAGGGTTTTTTTTTTTTTTTCATTTTTTTTTCCAAGTATTGTTGGATCCTTTCTTTTTATTTTTTTTTATTATTTATTTTATTTATTTTTTATTATTTTTTTATTATTATTTTTAGGTATTGTGTCTGTCCCTGTCTCCATCACTGTGTGGTTACGCTGTCTCCTTGTGTCTCCTTTTGTCTCCTTTTGTCTCCTCTCTCCTTTCTTTAATCCCTCCTTGTCTTTGCGCATTTATATTTGTATATTTGTATACACTTATTTAATAAAGGAGGAGACACCTAGATAATAAATAATAAAGGAGACAATTAATTATTATTATTTATTATTATTATTGCATGCATGCAGGATATATCCCAATGGGGTGCAGCAGCAGGAGACTGGAATGTTAAGGGATCTGCTGAATGGGCTGGAGGTGCAGCAGCAGGAGACTGGAGCGATCCTACTGCTGCTGCTGGTGACTGGGGAGCCCCACAGCCAGCAGCAGCTGCAGCAGCAGCAGCAACTAAATGGTAAATTATTTACATATATATACACAAATACCCTTCTCCTCCTACAGCTGCACAAACCCTTGCTGCTGCAGCAACAACAGCAGCAGCAGCAGCAATACCAAACAATAGCTGCAGCAGCTGCTGCAGCAATAGCTGCAGCAGCAGCAGCAACAACAGCAGCAGCTGTGGGTCTGCTATACTCCTGACTACCTTAGGAGAAACCCTTGTGTCCCCTTGCTAGGTTTTGTCTGCTGCTCAAGGAGTTGAGGGGTTTTATTTAATTGATACAAACCCTTATTAGGGTTTAGTCTATCTAGGGTTTAGGGTTTAGGGTTTAGAGCTAGGGTTTAGGGTTTGCCACCATGTAGTAGTATAGGCACTCTCTATCTATATAAGTACTACATATATAAATACTATATATAAACACTATAAATATAGTAGGGACTAGAGGAAGTCTAGGGTTTAGGGTTTAGGGTTTAGTAGTAGTAGAGGTGTATGGTTGTAAAACAAGACGAGGAAGGGAAGAAAAAAACAGATATAAAAAGAAAAGGGTTTATAAATTGTTAATAAAAGAATAAGAAGTTAATTTTCTTTCTTTTTTTTTATTAGGGTTTTATTTATATTATTATTTTTGCGCCTATAAAAGGGTTTTCTTTTTCTTGTTTTTTCTTCTTTTTCTCCCTCCCTCCTTGCATTCATTAATACATTAAGAAAACGGACAGCTGCACCACAAACCCTAAACCCTAATAAACCCTAATTAACCCTTTTGCTATGCTCAGATGCATATACACCCCTACAAAACCCTAAACCCTAAACAACAGATACGCGCTATATATATAACACTATAAATCTATCTGTCTGCTTACGAGGCTTCTCAACATTGACGGATTAGGGTTTAGGGTTTAGGCTCTACTACTAGGGTTTAGGGTTTAGGGTTTATACGTACTTCCTTTGGTCGCGAGTTTCTTAAGGAGGGTTTCTTTCTCCGCATCCATCTGGCTAGGAAGAACATGCGGGCTATTCCTCTTCCTCTTCTTCTCCTGCAAGCAAAACCCTAAACCCTAATAAACCCTATACCCTCCTAAACCCTAAACCCTAATTCAGTATGTAGAGGGAAGAGGGAGTATGTGCGCTAGTTGAGGCAGCGACCTAAACAAACCCTAGCCCTAAACCCTAAATATCCTCCTAAACCCTCAAACCCTTTATCAAGCCTCTAAACCCTAAACCCTAAACCCTACCGCGAGGAGTTCCTTTTTAAGGGATTTTTCTTTATCTACTTTTTCTTTGTTTCCTCCCTTGGCGATGTTTTTTATATCAAATTCTTCTCCTTCTTCTAATAAAGAGGCAATGCCTGCACAATACGCCAAACCCTAAACCCTAAACCCTAGGGAGGAAAGGAGTAGCAAAGGGGAAAGTGTTCCATTTCAGGGTTTAGAAGAAACAGAAAGATCTAGGGTTTAGGGTTTAGGGTTTGCAACGCACATGAGGAGAAATCGGACAGGGATTGCTGCTCTTCTTTTTCTGCTGCACGTTGCTTAGCTTTTTTCTGCTGCTTCTGCTGTTTCTGCTGCTTCTGCTGCTGCTCCTCCTCCTGCTCGTCTTCGCTGTCTTCCTCTTGAGGGTTTAGGGTTTGTGGGTCTTCCTCCCCCTCTACCTCTAGATCCCCTAAACCCCCATTTAGGGTTTGGTGCAATTCTTTTATTTTTTTCTCTGAGAGAGCAGCAAGACGCTGTCTTGCTGCTTCTGCCTGCCTCTTCTGCTTCGATGCTTTGTCTCTCCCTCTCTGCTGCTGCTGCTGCTGCTGCTGCTGCTCTTGCTGCTCTTCTTCCTCCTGATGCTGCTGCTCTTCCTCCTCCTCTGCAGCACTATCATCTTCTACCTTTGGACGTTTTCGTTTTGTCTTCTCCATTGCTATTGATGCTGCTGCTGCTGCTGCTGCTGCTGTTGCTGTTGGTGCTGCTGCTATGGCAGCAGCAGCCGCTGCTGCTGTGGGCGTTGCTGCTGGTGTTACTGCTGCTGTGGGTGCTGCTGTTTCTGCTGCTGATGATGCAAATCCCACTAACAACTGTGTTTGGTGATCTTCCTAAGATTTAGGGTTTACAGTTTAGGGTTTAGGGTTTAGGGTTTAGGGTTTCGGCGTTGTAAGGAAATAAAAGGGTGGAGGGGCGGACTTCTACAATGTTTATCAGGCAGAAAATGCAGTTAAACGAGTTTAGGATTTAGGGTTTAGGGTTTCGGAATTAGGGTTTAGGGTTTAGGGTTTACGACTTCGGGCAGCGTGCTTGCTCGGAAACCCTTTGCCCTGTCCCATTGATAGGTTAAGGGTTTAGGGTTTAGGGTTTTGTCTGAACAGTATATGTGGAGAAGATAAAAACGCCTCTTAAGAGGCTTTTTGTTCTAAGATAAAGAGTTAAGTGTTTAGGGTTTAGGGTTTAGGGTTTAGGGTTTAGGGTTTCGGGGCTTGGCGGCTTAGGCAGCCCCATGATGAGTTGTGGCTGTTGGATCCAAGGGAGGTTTATGATATATTGCAATGAGGTTTCTTATGAGTTTATATTTGTGCGTTTAAGGGTTTAGGGTTTAGTGTTTAATCTTTTTTGTGGATTGGTAGTGGTTGAGGGTTTGCGTTGTTTTTTTCTTTTTGGTGTTCCCTTGCGTTCCTGTCTCTCTCTCTCCCTCCCTCCCTCTCCATTTGGTGTATTTGGAGGGTTTAGGGTTTAGGGTTTGGGGTTTGAGTTGTTGTTTCCTTTTAAGGGTGTCTATCCTTTGATTTTTCTGCTGAATGCCCTCCCTTTCCTCTTCGGCCCTTTCAAGGGTTTAGGGTTTAGGGTTTACTGTTCTTCCTCGTCGTGCATCTTTTTCCCCTCGAGCAGAAGGCTGCAGCAAAAGCTGCAGCAGCAGGAGCAGACATATATCCATACCTTTTTGTAACAGCAACAGAATAAGAATCATCATTAGTTGCTGCAGCAACAACAGCAACAGCAGCAACAGCAGCAGCAGGAAGAAGAAAAGAGGCATAACCATCTAGTCCCAAAACAACAAAGAGGGAAAACAACAACAATAACAAAAGCAGCAGCAACAGCAGCAAAAGGATAAATAAGAATAACAACAGCAACAGCATAGCTGCAGCAGCAGCAGCAGCAGCAGCGACGAACATCATCATCACCAGCATCAGATAATAACTAGGACATATAACCATTTATATAAATCCTAATCTTTCCCCCAATAATAATAATAAAATAAGAAAGAAAAAGCTGCATAATAGGCAGCAAGAATATAAAAAATAGATAAATAGTGTAAAAATATATATATATTTATAGAAAATGTCGCGGGGTATAGATATGAATCAATCCTTTATATTTGAGACTTCTGAGGATTGTCAAGTAGTACCAACATTTGATGCAATGAATCTTAAGGAAGAATTATTAAGAGGTGTATATGCTTATGGGTTTGAGCGTCCTTCTGCTGTACAGCAACGAGCAATAATGCCAATTATAAAAGGAAGAGATGTAATAGTTCAATCCCAATCAGGAACAGGAAAGACATGTGTATTCTGTCTAGGAGGACTACAGTGTATAGATAATAAGATTCGTGATCCCCAAGTATTAATTCTATCACCAACAAGAGAATTAGCAGAACAATCACAGAAAGTATGTCTAGCTCTAGGTGATTATCTTTCTATTCAAGTCTTATGTTGTATAGGAGGAAAAAGATTAGGGGATGATATAAGAGCACTAGAGGCAGGAGTACATATTGTATCTGGTACACCAGGCAGGGTATACCATATGATTAGCGACAGACATTTCTCAACAAAATTCATAAAAATGTTAATTTTAGACGAAGCTGATGAAATGTTGAATAAAGGATTTAAGCAACAAGTTTATGATATTTATAGATATTTACCTCCATCTACACAAGTTGTACTTATATCTGCTACTCTTCCTCATGAGGTAAATAAAAAATAGATCGAGAGATAGGGAGGGGGGAGGGGGGGAGGAAGAATTGTATTCTATTCTTCTTCTTTTTCTTGTTTTTTTTTTTTGGTTCGTTTCGTTGGGTTTCTTTCCCTTAGTTTTGTTCTTGTTGTGCTGTACTCTATGCTCTATTATTTTGTCTATTTCCTCCTTTATTATTAGGTCTATTATGGTGTATCCTTTTCTATCTATTGCCTCCATCTATTATTTTCTTTCCTTCTTTCTTTTATTCTCTCCTTATATGCATATTGCTGCAGTTGCTGCTGCTGTCATGCTATTGCTGCTGCTATTGTTGCTATGTTGCAGCAATTATCTCTGTCCCTATTGTTCCTACTCGTGTTACTATTGTTGTTATTGCTCTTATTCCTCCCTAATCCCTCTTATCCCTCCTCCTGCTGCTGCTTGTGTATATATATATGTATATGTGTACAGGTATTAGAGATGACAACAAAATTTATGACGAATCCCTTCCGTGTCTTAGTAAAAAGAGATGAATTAACATTAGAGGGAATAAAACAATTCTTTGTTGCTGTAGAAAGAGAGCATTGGAAGTTTGATACATTAACAGATTTATACGATACATTAACTATAACACAAGCTGTTGTATTCTGTAACACGAAGACCAAAGTTGAATGGTTAGCACAGAAACTCAGGGAATCTAACTTTACTGTAAGTATTATTTATTACTTTTTATCTATTTATCTACTTATTTCCTCTTTTTTGCCTATTTTGCTCTTTTTTTCGCGGTTTTTTTGACGTTTTATGGTACATTGTATGTAACATATGCTGCAGTCTTCCTAAAGTTGAATTGTTTGCACAAGTAACTTTCTTGTAAGGATTATTTACTCTTTTTTATTTATTTATTTATTTATTTTTATTTATTTATGTATTTTATTTATTTACTTATTTTATTTAGTTTATTTATTTGATGTTTTTTCTCTTGTTTCTTGTTGTTGGTTGGTGCTCCTGTTGCTGCAACGATTGCTGCAATAGTTGATGCAGCAGTTGCTGCTTTTGTTGCAGTTGCTGCTACAGTACCATTAACTAGATAATTATATTATACTGTATGAATATAATTAATTATATTAATTATATTAATTATTTATATATTTATTTGTATATTATTATATAGGTCAGTAGGATCCATGGTGATATGCCACAAAAGGAAAGAGATGAAATCATGAAAGAATTCAGAGAAGGACAGAGTAGGGTTTTAATTGCTACAGATATCTGGGGTAGAGGTCTAGATGTCCATCAGGTAAACCCTAAACCCTAGCTAAACCCTAGCTAAACCCTAAACAATAGCTGAACCCTAGCTAAACCCTAAACCCTAGCTAAACCCTAGCTAAACCCTTAATAATAAAAATAATGTGCGTAAATGTTCACTCGCTGGGAAGGAGGGGGAAATGTAGTCATGATGGATCATATATAGGGATGAATTAGGGTTTACTAGGGTTTAGGGTTTAAGACTGTATATTTCTTTCTTTAGGTCTCTCTTGTTATTAACTACGATCTTCCTAACAGTCGTGAGCTGTACATACACCGCATCGGTCGATCGGGTCGTTTCGGAAGAAAGGGTGTTGCCATCAACTTTGTTAAGGTAAGCAGCAGCAGCAGCAGCAGCAAACTAACAAGCCCTAAACCCTACAAACCCTAAACCCTAGTCTTAGACAGTTGCTTTGCAAGTCTCTATCTTTGCCTGCTGCTGCGGCGGCAGCGGCGCCCAGCTGTTTTGAGTGTTTAGGGTTTAGGGTTTAGGATTAAGGGTTTAGGGTTTAGGGTTTAGGGTTTGTGTATGTTTGTTGCAGAATGATGATATTCGTATTCTAAGAGATATAGAGCAATACTATGCAACACAGATAGACGAGATGCCTATGAATGTTGCAGACTTGATTTAAATCCAAAACCCTAAACCCTAAACCCTAATTTAACTCCCAAACCCTAGGATATACCCCCTGTTTCTATTCACATACCCTAAACCCTCGACCAGAACTGTTAAGAGCCACGAAAGGCTCTTACTGTTGCCTCATAATAGGGCTTCTCTCCAGTTGCCGTGAGAGGAGACCAGGCTTGAGGGTTTAGGGTTTAGTTTTTAGGGTTTAGGGTTTAGGATTTGCGACTGCGGGAGTCAGTGTCAGATGGCTTGGTTTCTTCTTTCACAGTATAGACCTGTGGACATCTTTGTGTTTAAGTGTAAGGGTTTAGGGTTTAGCGTCTAGGGTTTCGGGATTTAGGGTTTGAACAAAAAGTCAGTCCTTTCTAGGGTTTAGGGTTTAAGCTTATTAGGATTTAGGATCTAATGAGCCAAGTATATATATATATATATATATATATATTATATATATATATATAT